GTCTCGGTCTTATAATACTGTTGTGAATTTTTTTTTTACATGTGTTATAAAACCCCACAATAAGTTATTATTTTTGTTTGAACAATCAGTATCTTCTAAAGAGATTTAAACAATAAGAAAAAGGCTTATGTATTTACTCATGTAATTACCACTTCCAGTGTTCTTCATTCCTTTGTGTAAATATGTATTTCCATCTACTATCATTTTTCTTCTGCCTAAAGGACTTCTTTTAACATTTCTAACAGTGTGGATATTGCAGTATGTGACAAATTCAACTTTGTATGTCTGAAAATGTCTTTATGTTACTTTTGTTTTTTGAATGGTATTTTACATTTGGTAGCATTCTAGCTTGATAATTTTATAATTTTTGGAGGGAAAAACTGCTGTTACATAAATACACATTCTTCATTATATATTGAGGCCATTAAAGCTTTTTGCCTTGTGAAACTCAACAAACCTTTCGTTTTCAAAGTGTCAGTTTCCAATAATAGAACACACTTTTTATGTTATCTTATGCTAAGGCATTTAGATGTCTAATTTGAAACTAAGGCTGAATTATGACTTCTTTGTACTTAGCTGTCTTAATGGTACTGGAGGAGTTATGGGTTTGAAGAAGCAGAAGGGAGAAAAGACTTCAGGTAATGTCTCAAGATGTTACCCCTTTTTCTGTTTCCATTCTGTGGTTTTCTACAGCACTTAGTACTTATTTTTATTAGCACTGTCTATTACACTGTGAATTCTTTATATGTTCAGTACTCAGTGGAGTGCTTGATACATGTTTGAATGGTTTATTTTCAGTAGCAACCAGACTATGTATCTACGTAACTGAGTCCTAGGCTAATTGTTTTTATATGAAAAGATTGTCCATCTTGTTAGGAAATTTTTGCAGCAAGATGGTAGTAAAATGATGAAATTAGGTAAAAAAAAATTTTTCCCCTTCATAAGAGACCATAAGAAGCGTATTATTATTTGAATATACTACTTTGACAGGATGCCCATTCCTATGCCCATCCACAATTTATAAATATATCATATTCATGTTTGATAGTTTATTTTTTCCAGGCAGAGGGAAAGCATGGTTTTCATTTTAGTGCCAGAAGTTATCCAAGGAAGGAACATTTTTTTAAAAATATGCTCAAATAGTTTATGCTTTTATAACTGTCTTTCGTGCCTTCTTTGCAAGTGGATTTCTGGGCCAACTTTTGACTTTTACGCTTCACAGATATGGATTTTAGAAATATAAGAAACACGTTTATTCTGAAGGTAGACAACAAGAAAGCTCAAATGATCACTATTTTTTCACAGACACATAAATTGCAAGAAAATAAGTTGATAATGTGGATGTTTATTTCCTCCCTCCGTTTTTTGTTGTTGTTTCCGTATGTGAGTTAGGCAGATCATGAGTAGAGATTTATCACAGTCTACCTCATCTTCTACAATATCAGTGGTTCAGTGCAATTGAAATTATTGCAAAATCTGGAAGTGCTTCCAGTATATTCTCTCCCTCCCTCCCTCTCTCCCTCCCTCCTTCTCTTCTCTCCTTCTCTCCTTTCCTCCCCCCTCTCTTTCCCTCTGTACCCCTCTCTGCCGGCCTCCCTCTCCTTCCCCTCTCTCCCTTCCTGCTCCCCTATCTCTCTATCTCTCTCATATTGGCTGTCTTGAGAATTCTCTAGCCTCACTCACTTAACTTTCTGTTCCTTAAGCAGGCCATGTTCCTTCTTTGCACATGCTCATCTCTCTTCTTGAAGCATTCTTTCCTTCTTTTTACCTGGCTAGCTCCTCTGTATTCACAGGATCTCAGTTTAGATGTCCACTCATCTGGGAATCATTCCTTGACCTATCAAGCAATGAGAGGTATTCCTCCTCTGCATGCTTATAGCATCTGCACTAATGCCTATGGTAGACTGTATTGTAAATGCCTGTATCTTTGTATCTCAGACTATCAGCTTCATGATAGTCCATGCCTAGCTTGTTTATTGCTGGATCTTCTGAGCCATGTGCAGTGTTTGGCATATAATAGACACTCAGTAAATGTTTGTTGGATGTATGGGTAGATGAATATCTAATTGGTTCACTGCATTTTTTACTAAGATTATATCATAAACATTTTCCTGAGTTGTTAAAAAAAGCTTTATAAACATAATTTTAAATAGAAACAAAGTATTTTCTTATTTTGTCATATGGATAGCTCATAATTCATGTAACCATTCCCCAGTTATTTCACTTCTTAATTATCTAATTTTTCACTGTTATAACAATGTGCTGAACAGATAGCTTTGTTGGTTAAACTTTGCCTATGCTTGTGTGGGGGAGGAAGAAACTTTCCTCTACCCTCAAGGTTCTGTCAGCTGGTTTAATAATTAAATCTATATGAAACAGATTAACAAGAGAAAATGACCAAATTTAATTACATATGTATGTATGGGAACTCCACCTACATGAGACAGTCAGAGACCCCACATACAGGAGAGGTTCAAAGATAGAAAGGGAAAATGAGGTATGTGTGACATTCTGAACTAAGGATGAGGTAAGGTGTCGGGGTTTCAGAGGTGAGAGAGGTCAATAAGAAGAAGAGATGTTCAGTAATTAGTAGTTTGCCATGACATGATTAATAGATAGCTCAAAAAAAGGTTATTGTTTTTTTTGGGGGGGGGCTGGCCGAGTGACTCAGTTGGTTAAGAGTTGTCTTAAGAGCATGAGCTCTGAGCAACAGGGCTGCCTGTTGGATTCCCACATGGGCCAGTGATGCTGTGCCTGAGCTGAGCTGTGGCTGAGCTGCCACCAGGTGGCAGGGTGGCTCAGCTGATGTAACAACAAGATTGCCTGTTCTATGGTGGGCTACGCCCGCCCTCAACTAAACTGAACTTGGCACCTTGAGCTGAGCTGCCATCCAGATGACTCAGTGGAGAGAGCATGTGCTCTTAACAACAAGGCTGCTGGTTCAACTCCCGCAGGGGATGGTGGCTACACCCACCCGCAACTAAGATTGAACACAGCATCTTTTTTTTTTTTTTTTAAGATTTTTATTGGGGAATTGGGGGGATGGGAACAGTGCTGGGGAACTGGGGGAAGCCAAGCGAGTTCTTAACCATCGCGCCACTCGGCCGGCCCGAACACAGCATCTTGAGCTTAGAGGCCACGACGGGAAGCCAGATGGCAACTGGTGCCCTCCAAAACGAAGGTTGAAGAACAACAGCTTGGCTGTTTCCCTTCCCCAATTCCCCAACACTGTTCCCCTCCCCCAATTCCCCAATAAAATCTTAAAAAAAAAAAAAAGGTTGTTTTATATATATATATATATATATGTTAAGGAAAGGGTTGCTACTTGGGAGGCACAGATTAATTCCCCAACACTGTTCCCCTCCCCCAATTCCCCAATAAAATCTTAAAAAAAAAAAAAAAGGTTGTTTTTGGTGGTAACTTTTATTATGGGCAAGGCCCCTAATTTAAATCTTTAAGGGAGAAGTAACAGTTTCTCATGAGCCTGGAGGGTCTTGATTGTCTTCAGTTCAAAATAATTCACATGCCAAAGTGGCACATTTTGGGAGGCCTGTTCTCAACTGCTGCACTTGGTTATTTCCATAGAATGGTTATCAAGGCATTTTAAAGGCACTTAAAACTTTGTACATTACTTTTCAAAAATGTTGTACTGGTTTGAACTTTAACCAGTACTTTATGGAGGGGGTTGTTTTGCCATAGTCTCACCAGCTCTGATTAGTCCCATTTGTAAACATGTTTACCCATTTGGTTGATTAAAAATGGCATCTTTCTATTTGATTTGATCAAAGTTAGGTTATTTTCTCAAAATTTGTAAGCTATATTTATTCTTTTGTGAGGAAAACTAGCAGTATTTCTCCACCCATTTGTATATAAGACCAGTTTGAATACTTTTTGTCTTACATATTTATTAAATGTTTAAGCTTTTTCTATGGTAAATATCTAATAAAATTGATTGCCCCAAAGTTTGGATATGTTAGTAAAATCATTTAGTATGACTTTCCTAATTAATATTCAAAATGTTCATAATTCATAACACTATTACAGGGTGTCAAGTTCCCTGTTTTAAAAGTGTTTAAGATATATATTCTGTAAACATATAGACACTGCTTGGAAATGAGAGGTGGCATTTAAATTTCTTGAGGAGGTTGGCGTTTATATAGGACACTGTAACAGGTACTTAGGATTCAGAAGGTGTGATCTGATGTGTGGGTGGAAGAACAGACATTGTGAGTTCACCTGGGAAGCTCTGCTTCCAGGAGGAAACCAGTCTATCCTGATAGAACATTCTAAACTCACCTATCCTTGACTAGCTGGTCTGGTAGAAAGATAAATGTAAATCAGAAGATACATGTTCTAATCTCATCTCTGAAATCAGCCTGCTTTGTGACCCTTCACAAATTACTTAATATTAGTTTCTCAGTGCTTATGTGATTCAGTTTTATTCAGCTCTAAAAATCTTTGATTTCATTATCCAGGGGACAAAAGCTATTGTGAATCCAGTTATTCTTGTGAATATGTATAGGCTTGGAGAACAATTCATTCTTATTGAGAACTGTTTGGGGAAGATAATAGGAAAATCCCCCATACTGGCAAATTTTTTTAGGTAAAATGTACTCCCAAATCCTAGATTATTTCGTTTGATACATAAATATGGTAAAATTTAATTATTTTTGTGCCGTTTGCTGAGCTAGAGAACTGTATATTCAGTGTTTTCTCTTTCAACATGACCAGAAAACCACAGTTGGGATAAATTTAAACAGTGCAGAGAATTTCTTAAGCCTGGATATTGTCTAAACAGAGAGATTACTTAGGGGAAGAAAATTAGGTGTAAATCCATCAGTGATTTTTAAGAAAAGTTATTATTTAAGCAAACATTGCCTCGGCTTAATTAAATGCTGTAATTAAAAGTCACAAACGTTAGCCCTTGTCTGGCTTGAGAACGCTGCTGAGGCCGCTTTCTAAACCAAAGGAATCTGACTGCTCTGTGTTCGACTTGTTAGGTCTGGCTCAGTGCGCTGAGCTCTGCTGGCAGCTGAGAGGGGAAGCCGGGAAAAGACAAGTTCCTGGTGCAAAGGTTGCTCTGCAGCATAATTTAGGCCTTGGAGGAGCTGCAGTTGTCACGCTCTACAAGATGGGTTTTCCCGAAGCCGCCAGGTAAGTGGCATTCTGTGTTTTGTCCGGCAGTGAATCCTTCTGACTTTTCACAGCTGATGACGTTTTACATGTCAAAAGTCCTAATTTTATTGTCTTAGTACTCAAAGAATAAGTATCTCATTACATTGATTTAATAGCATGGCTTTAAAACTTTAAAACTGACCATTAACTTTTAGACTTAATCAGCCTTAGGAAAATTTTGTTCAAAAAGGAGGCAGCATATTCAAAAGAGAGTGCTGAACTAGAAGCCGGAGCTGGCTGGGTGCTTGTCTCAGCCCTGCCAACTTGAGTAATTTTAATTTAGGAAGTCACTTTATTTCCTTTCCCACAATTTGCCTTCTCCCCATAGCCTCCGAGGCTTCTGAGGTTGTCTGGAGAAAGTCAAACAATTGATTGGATCTCTGCAAATTTATTCCGAAGCCAGCTGAGCCCTCGCTGCTGCTAGAATCTGTTTTATTTCTCTTGCTGATTTTCTTCCTGTCCTTGTCAAATGCCTGTGCTCCTCAAATCTCTAAAGCACTTCCTTTTCCAAGCCTTTCAGCATCCCTCAACTAACTCACTCTTCTCTCAGAGAAGTGCTTCTCCTTCCTAGAGCAAAAAAGTCCCTCTTCCTTTTCAAGGCCCAGCTTTCCTTTTTGCATGCTTTTCTTTCCAACAACTTCTGTAACTGTGTCGCAAAAACTAGGTATACCCTCTTCCTTTTGTCTTCCTTTTGCAAAGATACTCATCTTTGCCTTTCTATTGACTCCTTTCTCTCTGTCAGCAAACGTGCAGGTCTTTTGTATTCTAAAAAATCTGTTTTTCTCCTTGCCTTACTTAATTCTTCTCTTTCTTGATGAGCCTTTTATTTTACATTGAGCCACTGTTGTTTTTTCATGCTGAAATATCTTACAGCCTAGTTTCTGACTTCACCACTGAGGTCCGGTAAGGCCACCAGTAGTCTGATTATGAAATTGTGATATGTCCTTGTCTTTATTTTTCACCCTTACTCTCTAACCCTGCTGTAGCTTTCAACACTGATTGGCTCCCCTTTTTCTCTTGAAATTCTCGGTATTTATTCACACTTTTGTTCCACAAAGGATATGCAGCCCACTTCACTAACAGAATCCTTTATATCCTTATGTTTTGCAGGCTCTTGAGTCTACTCTCGGTCCTTTCACTCTTTTTTCTCTGCCTGAAAATATCATTTCTGTTGTGTAAATTCTTTGCTTTAAGGCTCATCTCAGGTACCATCTTCCTTCAAATATCCACAGCACTTTGTACCTCTTGGGTCCCTATTTAATTTTGGTTTAATTGTACTGTATCTAGCTTGTTTTTATTCCCTTTATTATATGAAACCTTGAGGCCTAAGACTGTGACTGGCTTCTCCCCACCCCTCTGAGGATCTCTCTCATAGTGGGTAAATGTTTATTGACTTAAATCAAATAAAAAGATGGTAAGCTAGGAATTTTAAGTTTCCTCCTAAATATGATTCATTGGTTCTGCACTGTCCCCTGGAATTCCATCCAGTTCACATTTGGAGTTGAACACCCTTGGTTAAAAGCCAAACTATCAAGAGCTACCAGTCAGAATATTAATGTAGCCATCTAATTTTCTCAGAATAGAAGCTTATGAATTTTAGGCAATAAATTATATTTTAAACCTGGAATTCTCATAGTTCTTTTATTTTCAGGAGACTAAGTAATTGAGATACAGAATTGTTCACAGTAGCCATGGTTATTTCTGGGAAAGTGTAAATACGAAAAATCCAGTTATATTTTTTTGTTTGTTTTTTTAAGAATGTTGTTTTGTTAACTTCATCTTTTTTTTTTTTTTCTTTTAAGATTTTTATTGGGGAATCGGGGAATGGGAACAGCACTGGGGAATTGGGGGAAGGGGAACAGACAAGTTGCTGTCCTTTTGTTCTTCAGTCTAGTTGTGGAGGACATTGCTTCA